CCACCATACTGTTCATCAGTCCTTCCCCACTTCTCCCCATCTCCAGCCTCTTACCCACCATTCTGTCCTCCACTTCTGTGAGATACAATTTTTTTTTTCACATTCCATATGAGACCATGCAATGCTTGTATTTCTGTGCCTAGATAATTAGCTTTACTATCTCCCATTTTGTCTACATTGTTGGAGATGATAGGACTTGTTTTTTATAGCTGAAGGCTGGTTCTGTTGTGTGCATATGTACCGTATGTCTTTTTATCCATTCATCAGTTGATGGATACTTTGCTCATTCTCATTTCCTGACTACTGTGAGTTAAATAGTATTGCAGTGAACATAGGAATGCAGATAACCCTTCCATATCCTGAGTTCCTTCTGTTTTGGATAGTGAGCCTCGTGCCTGGTAGGCAGGCACTCTACCACTGTACTATATCCCCAGCCCTCTTATTACTTTTCTTTTGAGATAGGTCTTGCTACTTTGCACAAACTGGCCTTAATTGTGATCTTTCTGACTTAGCCTCATAAGTAGATGGCATTATTGGCCCGTGCCCCCAGGCCCAGGGGTAGATTTTAAATTTTATGAGTAATCTCCATATTGTCCTCCAAAATGGATGTAGTAATTTGCATTCCTGCCATTATTGTTCTTTTCTTGACATGCTTACCAGAGCACCTCCTTGTTACTCTTTTTGATGACAATCTTCATTATGAGGTAATATTTCTTTGTAGCTTAGATTTACATTTCCCAATGATGAATGATGATGAGCAGTTTTTTCATGGAACTTTTGGTCATAAATACGCCCTCTTTTAAGAAATGTTTATTTAGATGTATTGTTTACTTTTTTTGAGATAAGGTCTCCCTGAAGCCCCAGCTGGCCTGGAACATGCTATATATACCAGGCTGGCCTTGAACTCACATCTGCCTGCCTCTGTCTCCTGAGTGCTGAGATTAAAGGCATGCCTGGCTTTATTTTTTAGTTTTTTAACTTTTTATTTATTTAATGTGTATGAGTGTTATGACTGCATGTATATAAGTGCACCCGTGTTGTGCATTGCTATTAGAGGCCAGAAGAGGGCATTGGATCCCCTGGAACTAGAGTTTTCTAAAGATTGTTACGATGTTTGGGTGTTTTGTGGTCCCCAATAAATTTCAGGATTGTGTTTTCTAGTTGTGAAAAGAATGTCATTGGTATTTTGGTAAATACTTTGAATCTGAAAATTACTTTGGGTAGTTATGGACATATTAACAACGGCGTTCACCCCGGGATCACAGGCATCTTTCTGCTCCTTTGTTTAATTTCTTTCATCAGTGTCTTTCACCTCTTTGGCTATTAAATTTATCTACAGGCATCTTTAACCTATTATAAATGATACTGGTTTTCTTCGTTTCTGTTTCAAATAATTGGCCCTTAGCATACAAGAATACTACCAATTTTTTGTAATTTTTGTGTCCTGAAATTTTACTAAATTCATTTGTTAGTTCTGATTATTGGGGGTAGACTTTTGGAGTTTTCAGTATAAAACATCAGGTCATTTGCAAATAATGACAATATTACTTATTTTCTAGTTTAGATACCCTTTCTTTCTCTTGACATTGCTTTATCTAGGACTGCCAGAACTATGTTGAAAGAAAATATACAGAGAAAGCTTTCAGTATAATGTGGGATCCTGGCTTATTATACATGGCTTACATTTCATCAAGGCATCATATTCTTTCTTAACCTGATTTTTTCAATGGTTTTATTATGAAGGAATGCTGAATTGTATCTGATATCTTTTCTGCATCTATTGAGTTTTGCCCTTGGTTCTATAATGTAGTATATCACATCAGTTTACATATATTTGAACCATCCTTGCATCTCTGGGATGAATCCCCCTCAATCATGGGGAATTAGTTTGTATATGCTACTGAATTCAGATTAACAGTTTTTATAGAGCATTTTTATACCTAAGTCTATAAGAATTTGGGGCTGTGTTTTCATATTTTTGTAGTGTCCTTGTCTGGGTTTTCTATCAGAGTAATGATGGCTTCATTAGAATATCTTTGAAAGAATTCCTTCTTTTTCTACCTTTTGAATAATTTAAGGATATTAATTCATCTTTGAATGTTTGGTATCATTCAACAGTGAATCCATCTAGTCCTGGGCTTTTATTTGAAAGAAGACTTTTATTAACGAATCAGTTTAATTAATTATTATTGATCCATGTTTTCTGTTTCTTCACTATTCAGTCTTGGTAAGGTGTATATATCTACTGTTTGTTTATTCTAGGTTATCAAATGTGTTGTGTTAATATATAGCTATTCATAATAACCTTTTATATTATAAATATTCATAATAACCTTTTATATTTTTATTATATTCATAATGATCTTTTATATTTCTGTGACATCAGCTTGTAATATCTCCCTTTTCATTTCTGATTTCATCCTCTTTTTCTTTTTTTTGGTCTTTTTGAGACAGGGTCTCCCTGTAGCCCCAGCTGGCCTGGAACTCACAGAGATCCAGCCTCTGCCTCCCTAGCGCAGATTAAAGGGATGTGCCACTGCGCCAGCCCTGTCCTTTTATTCTTATGCTAGCTAAAGATTTCTGTAGTTTATCTTTTCAAAGAATAAGCACTTTGTTGATTGTTTGGTTGTTGTTTTCTTGGTTGGTTGGTTGGTTGGTTGGGGTTTGGGGTTTTTTTGTTTTTGTTTCTCTGTCATTTATTTCTGCTCTGATTTTTTTTTCCTTCTAATTTGAGTGTTTTTCTAGATCCTTAAGATGTAGTGAAAAGTGGTTTAGTGTGTGTGTGTGTGTGTGTGTGTGTGTGTGTGTGTGTGTGTGTGCATGTGTGCGTGCATGCATGTGCGTGTGTGTCTACAGAGCGAATCCAGCACCTTGTGCATGCTAAGACAAGCAGTCCGCCATTGTGGCCTAGCCCCTGATAGTTGTTTGCTTGTTTGATGTAGAGATTGGTATGTGTCCCTCCTAGTGCTGCCTCTGCCGTGCCCATAGGTTTTGCTAGGTTTTGTCTCCACTTCTGTTTGTTTCAAGAAATTTTTAGATTTTCTTCTTGATTTCTTCCCTGAGACATTGGTTGTTCCAGAGTGAATTATTTCATTTTCAGGACTGACGAGATGGCTCAGTGGTTAAGAGCACTAGCTCTCTTGCAGAGGACCCAGGTTTGGTTCCCAGCACCTACATGGTTGCTAACAACCATCTGTTACACCAGTTCCAGGGAATGAGACACCCTCTTCTGGCCCCCGTGGGCATTGAACACATAGGTGCACATGTACCTATAGACAAAACACTAATACACATCGCATAAAAATAAATTAAAAAATTAAAATTATAAAACAAATGAAGTTATCTAATTTTCATGTATTCATATAATTGCCAGATTTTTCCTTATTACTGATGCCTTTTATTCCACTGTGGTCAGAAAAGATATTTGATATTATTTCAGCTTTTTAGATTTGTGTTAGGACTCTCTATGACCTCTTCTCTGCTGGTGAGAAAAATGTGTATTTAGCAGCTGTTGGGTGGAATGTTTTGTGGCATAGTAGGGTCTATTTGGTCTAGGGTGCAAGTGAACGCTGTTGGATTTCTATCTGAATGATCTGCATTGCTGAAAATAGGGTATTAAAGTCCCTGAGTAATGCTGTGTTGTAGTCTGTCTGTCTCTCCCATTTGGTCTTCTAGTATGTGCTTTATATATCTGAGTACACCAGTATTGAGTGTGCCAAGTTGACATTTTATAAAACATTGAATAATGACTTCCTTAGTCTATTTCCACAGATTCTGATTTAAAGCTAAGTATGGCTACCCCTGATTTCTTTTGAATTCCATTTGCATGAAATAATCTAATTTTGTCCCTTCAGTTCAATCTGTATGTGCCCTTAGAGGTAAAGTACATTTCTTTTAAGTAATATATGAGTTGGGTTTAGGATTCTTTTGGTTTTCTTAATCCAGTCAGCCACTCTGTCTTTTAATTGGAGTATTTACTCTATTTACATCCTATATTGTTACTACTAGGTAAGGTCTTACAGCAGCCTATGTGAAACTTGAGTTTCTACTGGGTGCTAGGTCTCACCACAGCAAAGCCCTGTCTACCTTCTACCCTGCTCCCCAGCAGGTAGAGTCTTGCTCCTAGCTCTGCTGCCAGAAGTTGGGGTGGGGTGGTGAAAGGGGTACCCCTGTATCAACTTGAGAACTTCCAGCCATCACGAAGATCCCACATTAATGGACACTGTTGCTAGATTTGTGTTACATTTCAAGTCCTTGATTAGAAATTTTTATCATGAGAGGGGGCTGGAGAGATGCTCAGTGGTTAAGAACACTGGTTGTTCTTGCAGAAGACCCAGGTTCGAATCCCAGCACCCACATGGCAGCTAACAACTGTCCTAACTCCAGTTCCAGGGGATCTGACAGTCTCTTCTGTCCTCCATGGGCATTGCACGACATGGGTGCACTTACCTACATGCAGACAATATACTCATACATATAAAATAAAAATAAATTTAAAAAAAATTTTATCATGAGAGCATCAAAACTGCTCAAGGATGTTGGTGTACTACAGCCGACTGCAGAACTGTATGTAATCTTGCTCAAACAGGATCCTTACATACCTAATCACGGAGGTTTAGCACTGTGTGTACTAAACTAAATTAAATTGGCATGAGGTGGAAGGAATTTTACATGAATGCTTTTTAGTCTATGCTAGTTACTCAGAACCGTCACCAAATTTCCTTTTCTGGTGTAATGACTTACTTTACTTTTCTTATTCTGAAGATGAGCTTCTGGTTCCAAAGACCTTAGAGAAATATTCCCACTATTAAACCCAGTACCGTTGTTTCTGAGCCATCTGGGCAGTTTCAGTAATCAGGTTTTCAGTATGAGTTTTAAGTATAGTTATCAGCATATTCTAACCAAACTGGAAAGTCAGCTCCTAGATTTCCATATATTATATTTTGTTTCATCACAATTTCATTGACATAAGTAATTGTTTTTTCTTTTCTCCACCACAGTGGATCCTTACAAAACTGGAAGAAGCAAGAGAACCTTCCCCAAGCTTCTGAGTAAGGCCGGGCAGTCCGCTACCACAGTGTCCATGGCGTACCTTCTGTCTGCTGGGAGGCGCATTATAGGAGCACTTTCAAAGATCCTTTGTTTTAGACTCTTTTGTCTTCCCCCCCGCCCCGCCCCGCCGGAGCTGAGGACTGAACCCAGGACCTTGTGCTTGCTAGGCAAGCGCTCTATCACTGAGCTAAATCCCTAACCCCTGTTTTAGACTCTTTTTTAAAAAAGCAGAATCAGGTTAAATAACTATGTGGTTTTAAAATACTTCAATTTTGGGGAGGTCCATTCAGTTTCCTAATTTGAATCATGCATATGGTTATGAGTCTTAATACTGTTTTATAAGAGGAAGAAATGCTTACTTTAGATTATTCTTGGTAGTGGTGGCAAGACTGCCCATAGTCAGTCTTTATATCAAACAAAGTTTAGTTTTCCCAAGTTACCATTTTAAACTTCTGCCATGCTTACTTCAGTTTCCTTCAGTGATGGTAAATGATCAAGCTAGGTACTGCCTCAGGGGCATCAAGAGAACTTTGGCAGTAATTTCTTCAGAATCATGAAATTCTTTTTACAAATAAATATTTTGGTATTGCTTTATTTTTAAAATAAAGGATTTGGATTATACTAAAATGCATAGCATGATTGTGAAGAGCAATCTTTTTTGAGATTGGGCATAAATACCTCTTCGGGCCCAGCCTTAAGGTAGTCTAGAAAACAAAATGAATAGCATACCCAAAAGGTAGAGGCTCTTCCACATCATTAGAGCCTTAGAAATACTTCCTCAGGTCAACTCCATGAGTTTACCCAATTGATCTATTTAATAGACGGTTGTTCTCAAAGAAAAATTATTGAAGCCTTAATAATACCTACTTTCTGTTCACTGGTAACAAGAACTTAAATTTTTTCCAACATCTTAGATGTAGTTAATTATGCTATAGAAAAGAGAGCATCTCTCATAAGTAAATGTACATACCCTACGTCTTGCCAATAACCTGTCCTGTTGCCATAGATTAAGAATTTCTGGTTTGCTTTCTCTGTAGTTATTCGGATGAGAAATACTTATTTAAACATACAGGTTCATCACTACAAAAATTCTGGACTCCATCTTAGTCCAAAATAAGATCGCAGTTTTCCTTTGGTTTTTGTCCAAGGTTTTTGCTTCTTAATAATAATGGACTATTTAAAATTAAAGGGAATGTACAATTGTGAATTGTGAACAGAATGTCTTAATCGGTTACTGAATGACACACAGTGTTTGTATGTGCTACCAACTTGTTATAAGCTGGTTTTGGAATTGCAGACTGTGTTTGGTCAATGGTTGTGAAATCTACAGGCTTGTCAAACCCTTGCTTTGTTGTAAAAGCTGAAATAAACAGCATTCCAGACTGTGTCCCCCAGAATGCTTTCTAGCTAACATACACTGAATCAGAATTTTGAACTGTGGCCACTGGCTGTCCCCACACAGGCCTTTCTGCAAGGGGAAGTGTGCATTTTCCCTCCTGCTGCAGTTTGGACACATCACAATTAAACCTGTGGGGAGAGGCGGTCAGAAAGTTTCCATCAGATTCCCCTCTTCGGAAATGTCGCCTTCTTCACATTCCAGTCACTGCTAGTCCTCAGGTAACCATTTCATTTCATGATCTCAGTGTTGAGAAAAGTTAGAGTTGTAAGTTCCTGTGTGTCCCATGAAGAAGTGCAAGAATACAATAGGCCCAGCAGCCCTGACACCCTCTGGCAGCCGGCAGGAGTGGGTCTTTATTACCACTGCACATCCACACCAATGTCCCGTCCCTTTTGTTCCTGCACTAATAAAAACAGACATATCTCTTCTTTATCAATCATCTACCTCCCATCACTCTCTGGAGGACTGGAGTTAACAGACAGTTGTTAGCTGCCATGTGGGTGCTGGGATTTGAACCCAGATCTCCAGCAAGAACAACCAGTGTTCTTAACCACTGAGCCATCTCTCCAGCCCCAAGAACTTGAAATTTTAAAACCACATTGTTGAATGTCCTTAATTTGAATTCCGTTGTTGAGCCCTTTTCATGTTAATTGATCAGTGAGACCGAGAGCTCGTAACCTTCAGCCATGATGTGGGATGGGGAGGGGTCACAGAGATGTCTTCATTTTTATGTTTTAGATATTGTTTTTTTTTTAATGAACCAGAATGTATTAAGTTCAAATAATGACACAGATATATCTATAATATACATGTGTGCAAAGATTTGGAAGGAATGACAAATTAAAAATGGTATATGCCTTGTTTTAGATGACTTAAAATTCTTTTTTTTTTTTTTTGTCTTTTTGAGACAGTGTTTCCCTCCAGCTGTCCTGGAACTCATTATGTAGACCAGGCTGGCCTTGAATTCACAGAGATCCGCCTGCCTCTGCTTCCTGAGTGCTGGGATTAAAGGTATGTGCCACCACGCCCAGCTTGTTAAAATTCTTTTCAAAAAATAATTTTTATTTATTTAGGTGTTTGAATTTTTTTTGTATGTCCTTAAAAATTATTATTATTTTTTAATTAGAAGAAGCATTTTATTACAACAGCATTAACCTATTCAATAACATTTTTCTGAGCTAGGGTACATCTCTTTCAAAATTGGCTGTACATTTTTAGGTTTACAGATGAATTATTACACTTATACAATCTTTTACTCATAAATTCTTTAAGGCATAAAATTAAATGAGGTTTTAAGAGCTACTTGTCCATCTCTTTGCTCTCCTGTGCAGATTGTCTTGACTATTCTGAGACCTAAACTGTTTCAAATAAAATTTAGCATCTATTTGTCCAGTTCTTCCTGTCTTGAGTAAAGATTAGGTTTTAAACCTTAGTGTTGCTTTGGAAGACTAGTCTTTTCCAACATTAATGCTCCTCTTCAATGGCTTCACACTTGAAATTGCTCCAACAGATTGAAACTGACAGTCCAGGAGCTGAGTGAAAAAAAGGTTTAGGACAGCGGTAGGAATGTTAACACATGATTCCTTAACATACGTAACCACTCTGAGAACTAACTTTGAATCTAGACTCTCCTCAGCTTCCGATAAACCCATGTGAGCTGAAATATTTAAGCAGAAAATGCTCATAGTATACATCCCCTCTGGATCATCATAGCCTAGCAGTGCAGTACACTATGGAGAATATTCTCTTCCCCTCACCATGGCATGGCATGGCTGACTGGCAGCTGTGGCTTACAACTGCCCATCATCTCAAGAGAGTACGAAACCAAAGATTGTTAGCCTGAGAAAGGAGCAAAATTCTAAATACAGTTTCTACTGAATGTCAGTTTCTCACTGCTAGACCATTTTCAGTTAGAAACCCTCTCAAGGTTTAGGAGAGACAGACACACACCCTAAGTTCCTTACCAAGAGCATGTGAACCTCCAAATAAGAAATGGCCACAGCTGTCCTGGACCTTTGGTCTGAAGGATTCCATTTCCCAGAAGAGATCTGTGTCTGTTTACTGAGCCAGCCCCTAAGAGCTCCAGCATAACGTGATGATGCAGACTTATTTCAGAAGGAGGAGACTCAGGAACACTTCTGAGTTACTATTAAGACTGTAGCGATTGTTCTCTTGAACAGAACCATCAACCATGAGCTCAAAGAAACACAATGCAGCCAGTGCTAGTGGTAGAACAGTGTATTCTTAATCTTTTCAGAAGGCACAGCATACATAGTTCAAACAGCAGATGTGTGGTTACCACCAGAATTTTGGCAAGGGTTACAGAACATTTGTTAAACAGTTCACACTTTTAGCCATTTCATAAGTTTACAAGACCTGACCATATGCATTAGAATGTGTGTGTATA